GTGTGTGTGTGTGTGTGTGTGTGTGTGTGTGTGTGTGTGTGTGTGTGTGTGTGTGTAACATTGTGTTCCTGGTGCAGTATACCAGTTAATGGAATAATTACACAATAGAACTGAAAAGAGAGAGAAGACGAGGCACAGACTGGCTTGCCCACCAAGTGTCTGAGCTTCGTCAGTAGCAGGTATTGATGAGGCCAACTGTACTGTGCCGTGTAGTTATCTGACGTCACAGTGACAGTTGTTTGTAATGTATTACGCAGACCCATTTAACAGAAATCCCTTACAGTAAATCCTTGATTTCCAACTAACATTTTCACAAATAACTGCATCATATCATTTAAACATAGTACTGCATAGCCAACTAACAGTAGCTGTGCTTTAGCTCTTTGTCTTTGGTTTGATCTTTAAGAACTGTTTTTACTGTTTACCTTGAACGTTGTGGTTCCCTATGGTCCACGGTTCTTCAGAGTCAAAATGCGTGTCCCCGCCCATTCCAGGTCCAGGGAAGTAGGCATGAGCTAGGAAGCCCCCCTCCCCRTCAAAAGGGGAGCTGTCTCCATGAAACCCCGAGGCAAAAAAGATCATGATGTCGGGCTCCTTGCGACGTCCATATTTGATTTCCTGGTAGGGGATTTCGTCAAATGTCAGCGGGGTGACACTCTCCCAGACTTTAAAGGCCCGCCGGATGGCCTCATACGAGTTATACTCTCCAATTTTTGGAGTGTAGTTCTGAATGCTGTAAGAACAAAACACAAGGTAGAACAGAAAATTAAAATAAATGAAAAGGCTAAAAACCTATGACAATTCAAAATAGCACACACTTTTATTTTTGTTTGTTGCAGACTTTTAAGTTTGAAGAAGGTGACTTTAAAAAGTGTGGGAGGAAACAAACAAAATCCAAGCTAATTTATTTCAAGCTTTAGTGACAGAATATTTTAAAGTARCCAACAACAAGAAAGTAAGATCTTCGTATTGTTTCTGTGTTGCTGAATTGCAACAGCTTAAAATCCCCCTCTTTGTTACCTGTAAGTGAGATGGCTTTTGTTCCATTTATGTCCAGTGAGTGCGTAGCGCTTCCGCCTCACGTTGGTTTTGATCTGTCCTCCAAACTTGTCAGGCACGCCGCAGCGAGGTCTCCTCATGGCGCTGAAAGAGAGCRGGAGTAACATAGTGACCCAGCAGAGAAGATGGGAGGGGAGTGTGRTGTAAGTTTCACTGAAGTCTGAGTCTTTGTAGTTTAATTTAACTTGTTCTCACGCTGCTTTAGCTGTTATTCGCAAATAAAAGGAAGATTGGATGTCTTTTGTTAGCAATGTCGCTGTATGGAAACAGGGATTTTTAAACAAAATTATAAATAATTATAACCTTAAAACTTAAGACTGTTGATTTAACCCAGTTTGGGACTAGAAATGAGCTAATGGGCAGTATGTACTGTATATGTAAAGAATGAACAAATGAATGAATTTATCATAGTTGAGCCCTCCTGACCTGATGGTCTGAGCATCCATCTGACCAGTGACCTCCAGGCCGTAGAACCGCTGCATGTCACTGACGGCATTGGACAGGATCTGAGCTGATCGCATGGTCGACATCTGTCGGCTGGCTTGGGGCAAGTAACCATATATCCTCAGCCATGACTACAAACACACACAAAACACAAAGGTCACTGCTACACAATCAAGTGATAATTGTTTTCTGGAAGACATGGTTAGTCCGTGTCGATTACTGCAGAGAACAATTCTCAGCTTCAACTTCTGTTACATGATGTTTTGGAAAAGATTTRTTTATAAGCAGGCTTTCTGAGAACACTTTCACATCTGAAAGAGCTTCTATTAAGTTTTTTTTTTATTTCTATTTTTTGGTTATAAACGAAAGTATGCAGGGAAGAGAGGCCCACTGCCTCTGGTTGTACTGTGGGAATATGGAGGCGGGTGGGCCTGTGGGGGTTGGAGTTGAAGACAGACTGGAGAGAGAAATCGTGACATTTGACCCAATCACAGATGACGCAAAAGCTATTCCACCTGTCATGTCGAAACCCAATAYGGCAGGCGCATGCACTTACAAACACTCTCAAAGGAAAGCCCTAACATACAGTGCTGAGTAGCCGGGGACACTAGACTCTCCTGCAAATGGACACACACCCAGTGGAAGCAAAAGAGAAAAAAAGACCTAAATATTTGTGTGCAAGTCTATCACAACACAAAAGTAAATTCAGTCAAGGTCTGTATTTACCTACCCTCTTTTTTCAAGCAATAAAAGCATACATGTCTTCAAGTCTCTCTTACAAAACAAACATAAAAAGTGTATAAGTGCTCATATGTGTGCTATCCACCAAGTTGTTAGGTGAAGGCTCTTCCCATGAAGCTTTTATTTAATTTATCTGACAATCAAAGCATACCACAGGAAATCGAAATGTAATCAATAAAAAGTGTCTGGACGGTGTACAGCTGAGAGGAACTTATATTACCAGAGCATTTACTGGCTATACCTTATTAAAATCATCCATCGAAGCATAACATTAGCATCACAGCAAATCTTGTATGTGCGCTTCACCGGTCCTTACGCTACAGCTATAGATTATCTTGACCACAATATGCCTCATCGATCAATCATTACTGAGCTGAACCTGACAGGGTTTTAATGCTTATTCTTTGAAATCCTTTAAAACATCATCTGACCATCAGTAGCCAATAAAGATATTTGGGGAAAAAGAACAAAAAAAGACAGTTTTTCTCACCAAAAGCTTWGTTCATGTGTGCAAATAAATCCAGAGTGGTGTGAATGAAGCTTTTGTTTTGAATTATAAGAGCTGTAAAAAAAAGACCACAAAATCGTTTTTTCCTGTCACAAGACCCTTCATTMATCTCATCGAAACTGTTATTTGTAACTTTCTGCGATTCCGGCTCTTTGTGTGAGTGAGTGCATGTGTACGTTAGAGCAGGCTGAACTGAAAGTGACCCTGACCCACCTCTGGCTCAAGATAAGGAAAACTAAAACACGCTGATGTACCAAAAACAAAACCGTGCTCAGACCTACTGAAACTCAAAGCTCATCCCTCTCCCTTTGTTTCACAAACACACAGCCGAAACTAGAAGAATAGTCAGGTGAATTATATATTCATATAAATTCAAAGACCATCTGTGTCAGGACAGTTTCAGGCATTGCTGTACTACAGAGGCACAGAAGGTAGAGTTGAACAATGGTTTGACTTTGTGACAAAACTTTTTTTTAAAGTTCCTCTTTTTCTACATTTGCCTTTTGGATTGGACCATGAATAATTTATAATGTTAACATCAGAGAGCTGCATAACGTGATGCACAAACTGAACAGCAGCTGTTGACATCAGAATGGAATGAATAAAACTCCTAAACATAGATCATACTTTTATATGCATTGTGTCTCTGCACAGTAGTTYAATTGTTTCGTCTTTTATTTACAATCTAACTTACTTATTGCTAACTAAACCCTTGGAAAATTGTAAGAATTTATTGCTCCTTGCTTTTATTGGTCTTCTTTTATATTTATTTATTAGGGGTGCAACAATAAATGTACCCATATCGAACCCTATCAAACAGTGCTTTAGGTTCAATACACACTTGTATCGAATAATACAGATTTTTAAAATTTACTTTATCAACTTGTCTTCTGAAGATGCTCTGTGTTAACCCATTTTGCCCCACTGGCAACAAAAGTGTATCACTGTAAGTAAAAAAAAAAATCTCAAAGGTATTAATGCAACATTTTCCACTTATACACTAGTAGACAACTTAGACAAAGGTTCTGATTTTGAAAAAAAAAAAAGTTTCCAAGTGCTTCCTCTCGCATAAAATCATATGCTTCCTGCTCCTTCCGGCTGAAGGCATGAAAGATGCAAATCATCCTGGAAAGAGATCAATTTCACAAATTTCTTATGATTTTCTCCAGACATATTTATAATTATTTAATCTTTCAAGTCTCTAGAATAACCCTCCCCCCAAAAATTGTACCTAGAATAAATATTTTTTGTCAATGGGATTATTTCTGTAAGCGGCAACAAAAGTTGCCAATGGGCAAATAGCTTGTCACTAACTAAAGGAAAACACTGTCTGCAGGATTGTGTCTAATTTACTTATTTCAAATTGCAGAATGATGTACAATGTCTTATTTTAGCCTTCTTAGGATACTCTTTCTAGCTAAATAAATTCAAAGGTATTCAAGGCCTGTGTGTATAGCTTGTTAAAGATACACACAATCGGATACAGCTATTTTTATGGGGACCTGGCATTGACTTCCATTATTTTCTACAGTCTAAMCCTGACCACCAACTCTAAAGCTAACCTCACAGGTACCTACCTGACCCTAAAACTAACCTAAACTCAATTCACACCTTAGCCGTAAACTTAAGCCCGACCCACAGGCGGTGTTTCCCCTTATGGGGACAAGATTCAGGTCCCCATACCAGTCAGAGTCCCATATGTAACATTAGGTCCCCACAAGTACGTGTGAATGCCAAAAAACTGTCCCACAACATAGGGAATACCAGTCGACAAATAAATCCCCTTTCACCTCTGGTATGTTATTTATGTAAGCATTTTTCATAAAATAATAGGTCCAAGTTAAAAATAAATCAATCATATATGTGGTTTTTTTTTTCCTTAGGCAGGTCCTACACTGTAGCAGAGGTCCTGGTCATGCTGCAGGACTCCGCAGGACTCAGGAAACTGTGGCAGATGCACATCATCTGCGTGTGAAAAGTGTGATGTGCCACTACATGTGGAGTGCTTCAAGAAGTACCACACTGTGTAGAACATGCGTGAAAGATGGAATTTATGGGATGAAATATATACATACTTTATATGTGTTATTAGAGGTTCTAAGAAAAAAGTTTTAAGTATAAAAAATTGAGAATAAGAAAAAAACAGTTCAATTTGTTTGTTGTTTGGAATTTTATATAGGAGGAACCTGAGGCTCCACCTTTTTGTTACTATTTATTCTGACCACATTGTTATTTTATTACTATTAGTTCTCTATTATGAACAGGTGACATTGGACCTAGTGACAAGCTGTGTGCTGTGCGTCATAAAAATACTATTTTCTTTCAAAGCAAAGTACAAAATGGTGAAAATAATTACATAACATGATTCAGAGGAGCTCAACTGATAAAATGATATGCTTTACAACTCTGAAAAAAATTGGGCACAAATGAGTTAAATGGTCAGTGGATCTGTGTTCGACAACTCCACCTAGGCTGCATTTTTGAGTGCAGAGC